TATTGACTAAGCTACGGGCATTAAACAGGAAGAAAGATAAACGACGATATTTACTAAAGCGCTTCTCTGCAAACTGGTGTATCCCACTTTTAGATATGTGATATACGATAGATAGGTATAGATATAGATTTAGATTTAGATATACGCAAACACGCAAACTTACTCAAAATGTTAAGTGAGTGTTGCAAACCAATCATTATTGAAACCTACATAGTAATATAGTTATCCCATATTATCTACGATAGTTTGATATAATTCTCGCAAAAAAGCAACGTCGTGTCAGCTTTCCTCGAGAGTGCCTACTATTGAAGAGTTTTTTATTGCTAGAATTAATCAGAATTATACGAATATTAACTTCCTAGATGTGCTATTTAGTTCAAACCCTAAACGCCATTGTAATCTACAAAATGCCTGAGATATGCGAAGCGCTAGCTGACTTGAAATCAACTCAGGAAATGCTTATTTGCTCAAGTTTTCCCAATAATTGAGCTGTCAAATTCAATCCATTAGCAGTTTAATTTGATGGAGAGCAAACAACCTAGTTCAAATTGATCGACAAGCTTGGAAAACGGTACACATCTTTTGAAATGCATCAAACCTTTAGGCAAACAATAAGCGTGAACAGCTCAACTCCGTGCGAACCGCGGTCGACAAAGTCTCCGAGGAAAACGCATCTAATGTGCAGATATTTACAAATTTGTTCGATTGTACTCATGCTATTACCTTGTCTCGTGTGGCCAACCGTTTAAGTTGAACCACCGTAAAAGGTCTGAATATTGCCCATGAGTATCGCCATAAATTACACATGGAACAGGTACCTTGAAATGTAACGTTATCTAGCAAAAGGGAGATTTTTTCAAGAACCTCTAGCAAAGTGTCTTCCGATAAAAACACAGCGGCTCCCAAACGTAAAACTTCTATAAGTTGCGCCCTATCAAACTCAAATTCACGTGGACCATTATCAATCAGTTGAATAAGTAATTCTTCTGCAGCTTTGTGGCCAGTGGATATGGCTTTCGATGTGCCTATAATCAAATACAGACCGTTGAATACGCTAGCTCATAATCACTGTGAAGCCACTGCAAAAAACGAATAAATGCAGTTTAACGAGAAGAACGAAAATAGCAAATCCAGGCCTGTTGTGTGAAACATACATAGAATTGCGAGCAATAATTTTGCTTTTTTT